CGGGCCTTGGCCCCTGCCAGGGAGCCAGGGGCAGCCCCAGCTTCTCGGGGCAACCTCTGCCAGGGCCTCAGCACCCTCCCAGGGAAGGATTGCTGCCTCCCATCCCATCTCCATCTCCCCTCCTGCAGCTTCAGGCCATTCCCCTTGGCCTGTCCCTCCCTGCCCTTGGCACCAGCCCCTCTCCAGCTTTCCTGGAGCCCCTGCAGGGACTGGAAGGGGCTCCAAGGTCTCCCCGCAGCCTTCTCTTCTCCAGGCTGAACCAGCCCAACTCTCTCAGCCTCAGGTCTCCAGAGCAGAGGTGCTCCAGCCCTCGCAGCATCTCCGTGGCCTCCTCTGGACTCGCCCCAACAGCTCCGTGTCCTGCTTGTCCTGGGGCCCCCAGAGCTGGACGCAGCACTGCAGGTGGGTCTACCAAGAGCGGAGCAGAGGGGCAGAATCCCCTCCCTCGACCTGCTGCTCACGCTGCTGGACACGCAGCCCAGGACACGGCTGGCTTTCTGGGCTGCCAGCGCACATTGCTGAGTCCATACTTAATATTTAAATCCCTATCGTCAGATCTGCCAGAACTCTTTTAGCAGTGTCCTAAGGGCTGCTAATCCAAGAAGGATGATTACCAAAATGCATACAGTGCTGTGTATTTTTATAGCTGTTAATAAAAGATTTATCTTGTATTTTTTTTTGTACAGTTTAAAAATAAGTGACTATCACACCCAGGATGTGCGCAGACATAGCGTATCACAGCTGACAGCCCTAAAGCATTTTGCACATTCAACTTTTGCACCACTACCTTATTGAAATCCAAATAAAACTCCAAGCTTTTGGTTCAGCTATGCCAATTACCACGCAATCAACCAAATGTAAACTAAAAGGCGCAGGCAAAACAGGTATCTGCTAAACTACCAATTTAGGATTTGCACAAATGTGAAAACAAAAGCATAGCAGATCAAGTGCCAGGCTTCATATTAAATAATCCTTCTTCGATTACCAAGACAGCTTTGGTCTAACACGTTCCCATGCCATACATGTTAAACGTGCTCAAAAAGCAAAGCCCCTGGTTCCAACTTAAGCCTGCCCACCTGGCTGCAGCACTTTCTCTAAATATATATCTAGATCAACAGATATCAAATTTTTCCCAGTACAACAGAGCACATCTTTAGTTTACAAGGAAGGTATACTCCAGGAACATAAAAAAAAACAAAAGTAGTTTTTGCATGTCTTCTCTGAAGCTACACAGCCTTCATCATTCCAGCAACCCTGAACAGAGAAAAACCCTCGTAACCGTTCTAACTCATTTAATGGGAAAAAAATCTCTGTAGCGCTACATTTGGTGGTTTGGTTTTTTTTTTTTAGAGGTTAAAAGTCTTAAAAGCTTTCTGCTTCGCGTTTAATACAATATTCTAAATTAATAAAGCACCATAAAATGCAGCAAGCATTGAGGCTCCTACTAATAGTGAAATAGTAACACAGTAATTATTTTTTTTTTTAAACTTTTTCCTTCAGAAGAAACCCAAACATTTACACAAGAATATGCCTGGGAAAGCGTATTCCTAGAGACGGGAAATTAAATTTTTGCGGCACTTATTTCTTTACTTGCAGATCCCATTTTTACCTCTTGCAGGAGGCACTGACAGCTGGAAGCTATCAGAAAGGAAGATAACATTAGGAACCCCTGATTCTATTTTGCACTGCCACTATCTTGCCTTTTTTTTTTTTTTTTTTTACAGGAAACTCATTCCTTTGCCTGAGGTTTCCCCTAAACAATAAAGGGGAAAAAAAACCCTTCCAAAGGAAAGCCAAGAGGCTCCTCTCGATCACTTATGCACACCAACCAGCAATACAAACGATCTTTAAAGCCGCAGAATCGGTAAGATGATTTCCTGATCAACGCGCAGTGGGTTTGAGGGGACCACAGAGGACTGGAGTCACAACATATCTGCAAGTTTTCCAGTAGTCTCCCCGGCAGACAGAGGCAGAAAATGGTTCTGCAGCAAATAAAGGTTTTTAAAGAGCGAATTCCAGAAGACAGAAGTGATGCTCTGTTCCTAGATACACAGCTTTGGCCTACGAGGATTTTGTTCAAGTGTTGAAATATCGACGCCCCACTGAGACAGCAAAGACTGTTCTAAAATTTCCACGTCAACTGGAAATACAAAACCACCCACATCTCCTTACGCAGAAAGCACGTATGGTCAGAAGCCTTTCAGTATAACTCAAATAATTAAAGAATAAGAGAGTAACTGCCAGCAGAGGAAATCACGTCCCTTCGCCAGCAAGATTTGCCATTGCAGCTGCCCCGGAAAGCCTTTGTCACAGACGTGAGGGACGGATTCGTACACCTGGTTGTGATGTGGTTACTGACCTCAAATAACCACATCGTGGCTCTGCGTTGTAGCCCTGATGCACAAAATCCTTTCCTTTCCCCAAAACAAAGAGCATTTCGGCTCCGATCACTAAATAACAGGGAAAGGAAAACCAACGTTAAATTACTTTGATTTAGGTTATAATCCTTGTTCCTTTTTTAAAGGCGAGAACACAAAAGAGCTGCAAACACAGAGAAAATCCTCCCTCAGATTAAATCGAAGTCAGTCCCTGACAAAATACTTGATAAGGTTAGCAGTGAGATCAGAAGTCAGAGCCAGCTGAAAGATAACTACAAATCCTCTAAATGCCGCTCCTGGCTGGCGGTGAACAAGCAGGTGGTCTCCAAACAGACATCTTCGGGCGAACAACTGCCATTTCCTAACGGCTGCCAAGAAGCGGCTCGTCCCTCCTCGCTCTCAGCCCGAGGCTTATTAATAGAAGGGCATAAAGGGATCCCACACTGCTGCCTGTCCTTACCGCCCTGCTCCAAAATAGACATCTCCACCAGCATCGCTCCAACACCCTGCACCAGCAACGCGCTCCTAATGCGGAAAGAAAATTTCTTATTCTACACTTGGTACAAACACAAGCGGGTCCTTGATACTCCAGGAGTAGCCAAGTGCTTCCTTGCACTCTGCATGGTTTAGTGTCCATACGGATGGCCCATGCTGTCTTCTCCTCTAACTCACCCTTTCAGACAACATTCCACTTGTTCTTTAAAAGCCAAACCACAACACCCTCCTCCCTGCCCCCCCCAACTATCAGGTTCCCAAGGTTCCGTCTCGGAGGGGCAGGGCACAGCTTTCAGAGCCACCGAACCTCCTGCAGGCCCGTACACCGAACTGGGCACCATGAACGCACTGGGAAATGTCCTTAGGGACTACAGTTGTAAGGCTAAGCTTAGCTTCTGCATCCTTCATACTATGC